AAGCCATTCAGAAACTGAATGCCGTGTATGCGACCTTAGGTTCGCGGTCACCTGTTTGTCTTGTTCGTATTAGAGGTCTGCGTGGGATGCTTTCTCTCATTCACACACACACACATATATATATATTAACATGGGTGCTCGCTTGCTCGGGAGCGATATTGTTAGAATGCACACCCGCTCCCGTTAAATTAGACCAGAGTTACCGACCGCTCCACCGCTCGGGGCTCCCGTGGTACGTCAGCGTGAATGCAGACCTCTAGTTTGTATTCACCACGTCTCCCTTCTCGTTTGGTCGAAACTCGAAATACTGCCAAACTGCGGAGGTTGTGTTCCAAGAGACCAGGTCGCTTGATGCGCAACTCGCCATCTTACCTCACCTCTCTCTCTCTCTCCTCCACACTGTCCCGTGAAGACAATCACGCATAAACATTTTTAGGCATTAAATAAATAATATTTATTATTTAATACTTGTCTCCTTATTTAATTGCATTGTTTTTATGACGGTATAGCGGTATTGAAACTGACACAATTGCTATTTTTAGATCTCGCGGTATACCATATTACCGCATTACCGCTCAAGCCTAGCTGCTTTAGTGTGTTTGATAATGGTTGAGCTGTGCAGGACTGTAGGAATCCAGGAGCAGGGTTAATGACCTATCCTCTGTGTAGGACCCTATATGTTGACTTGAATGTAATTTGGGCTGTCACCACTTGGGGGCAATATGTGCACATAGGGTTTTAAAGTCGGTGTTTCTTGCAAGACTTGAGGAAGGGAACGCATGCAGTTTTTACCACATCAAACTCACACACCTTTGAGGTCGCTAAAGGGCTCAACATTATTAATTGCAATTATGTATTTATAATAAGCTAAATAAAGTGAATTTAAACTTGAAGAGGAAGCAAGACTGGACATTGGTTGTGTGCGTTGAGATGCCAAGCCTTCAACATTAAGCTGCTGCAACACTCTGTTAATTCTACAATGCGGAAGCGTGCTGCTTTTAGCGACTGCTGATAACTTCAGGTGCCTATGGGAAAAAACACTAGGAATCATAAATGGCAGAAAACGGTCAAACTGCTCGCTCTACAAACAAGTGTGTTCATGAATATACAGAAAAAGTAGAATAATATAATAAGAAAACATCAATTTGCAACATCAAACAGCAGAACAAGCTGTTTTTAACATATTTTTGGCTCTCAGTTGACACTTATATATCATATTACCATTAAAGAAAATAATACCGGTGATACTTTAAGTCCATATCACTCATTCCTACTAATAAACTTGAACTGCTTCAATAATGTTGCTTAGGACCGTGCTCTTGCTTGTGATTGCTTTACTTTGGTAATGTTTAGAGAAACGTCAGTGATATCTTTATCCCCTGCTTTGTGTATGCAACAAGTCAGCAAGTGCTGGGTGTTTATTGTCATGTAATACAAGTCTGTTTCTGGCTGAAGCTTTGCGCTAAAGTAGTAACAGCTCTCCTGTCTTAGGTATGAAGCCGAGACTGCCATGGCTCATTTTAACAACCCTAATAAAAAAAGCTAGTCTCCACACAAACATTCAGTGCCTGAAGAAAAAAAAAAGAGGAAAGCTTATTCTTTCTTGCTTATTCTGCTCTCAGTTCTCAATAAGAATTACTTGCTAAACTTTAACCGAAAATCTTTTTCGGAAAAACCAAAGATGAAGCCGCTACAATCTTTAAAGAACCAATCATTCGAAGGTTAGATTTTGCAAGCAGCATGTCAGAATTCAGTGTGGTCAAGATTTGATGGTTTTACGCAGCAGTAACTTCCAGATTTCCTCTTCCCTGATGTCAGACCACACGCCACGAGCATTTCCACTTATCTTTAGTTCTCGTTTCCAGTTTTTGTTCGGATATTTCAGTCTAAAGTTGATAGAGGAGAACAAGAATTTCTATACATTAAAATATAACCATTCAGTTTTACAGCAGTTGATAAATTTCTAGAAATTATAAAATAATAATAAATAATAACGGAAAATAAATGAATAAAACAAAACAAAATATATGTTTTTTTTAATATAAAAGGAAAATGAATGAAAAATAAATGAATTAATTCATTAATAAAATAAAATAATAAAATAAAATTTAAAATTTAAAAAATAAAAATAAATTAAAATTAATAAAATTAAATAAAATAAAAAAATAAAATAATAAAAAATAAAATTTAATAAAATAAAATAATAAAAAAAATTATAAAATAAAATAGAAAAAAATAAAGTTAGTTTAAAAAGTATTGCCATATCAGTGTCCAGACATAGTACGGATACTAAATAATTACAAATACTTGAGGCCAAAGACCAACGATGATTTGATTCAAAAGCCACCAAAAAAGGAGAAAGAGAAATATGTGACATTAATAATACTATTAATAATGTTGCGTTAACTTATGTTAGCAAGCCTGACGACTTAAAAACATCTGGTATGAGTTACCTACAGTATGGCTGTTGCTAAACTTTTTATGAATACTATGATTTTCCCTCATTCATCTTATTGTGCAACAAGTTAGTCCCACACGAACATTACAATCACTGTGTACAGTATTATTTATATATACAAACTGTACATTTTATTAAAAAGCAAAGGAGCTATCATTACTGCGACTGTATTGAACAACATAACTTACTAACATTTGACAATTTCTTCTTTCAGCTGATGTGTGTTCAATGTATAAAATATTAAATGATCTTGCACCACCACCTCTCAAACAACGTGCGACTGTCTGCAAGGACAATACAAGTCTAGGTCATCGGTAGGCCACAGATTTTTACCCCATCATTGAGTCTATTTATTTACTTGTGTAAATGTGTGTAAAAAAAAATTTACGAATTATTTTCAGTAATATTATTGACCGATATGAAAGCGTTCCTTTAATTTTTTTACGATACAGTTTGCAAAGTAATGTTTTCTGTCTTTTATTAGATATATTATATGATATCTTTGCTTTGTTTACCAAACAAGTGGATCTAGATGGATTTGCATTGTAAACATTAAATAAAAATTAAAAAGGCATTCATTTTTATTTCATTTATTAAGTTTTTTAGTGCGATACTCCTAAAATAATTTGGCATAAATCCGCAGATTTTTCAAAATTCTCTGCAGAAATAGTGAAATATGTCAGCAGATTCTGTCGGGCCCTAGTCATCGGTTAGAGGTGATTGTTCAATTAAACTCAAAAGAAATGCTTTTGGACCATCAGTATTTTCAGTCAGAGCAGCAGATAGATGGAATAAAATAGCAGTGCATATTAGACATAGACGTAGTCTACGTGAGTGAATGGGGGTGTATGGATGTTTCCCAGTGATGGGTTGCAGCTGGAAGGGCGTTCATATTTTGGATAAGTTGGCGGTTCATTCCGCTGTGGTGACCTCCGATTGGTAAAGGGACTAAGCTGAAAAAGAAAATGAATAATTTGCTCTATGCAATGAGCAAGTCTCACCACAAGAGGGACTCCTAACAATAATATGCTGAAGTGATACAAATTCCATGCCAGAGAAAAGACTACGGTAACCCCACCTCAAACCTAATGATACATTCAAACAGAGTTCAACAACTTCTAAACTAAAGCTGCAAAGTAAATAGACGAATGAATCCTTAAGGAAAAAGAAAGACAATCTCAAGACCGATAGATCCCTCAGGCTGAAATATGACAAAACCAGAAGCTGACTGTGCCAAAGCAGACTGCAGACACTGACCTCAGTCAGCATCACGGAGGAAGGTGAGTCTCCTGAATCAGAACTTTGAGTAATCCCACACTGATCATCATCATCATCATCTTATATGGTAAAAATATCTACTGAACCCACAGCACGCGGTGACTCGTACGACTGCGGGATCCCTCATTCATGTTTTGTCTGATATGCAGACGAACGACCCACGCATGCCCTCAACCCAGCCCGATGATGTCACAACCCAGCTGCCTGTCTAGCTAAGAACTCCAGACACATCTGTATTCCGCCAATTAAACAGGAAGTCAGCCTCGCGGGCACTTCCTGGTGAATCTGCTCACAACATGTGTTGCAGCGGCAAGGGGAAGCATGGAATAGTGAACATGCACTTCTTTAACGTGACGTCACGACCATCAGTCTTGAAACATTGAGTGACAATCCCCAGTTGACCAGAAAGGGAACTCTTGTGTTACCTCAGATTTCTTAAGAACTTCAACATACTTCAGGGTTGATCACTTGCCAAACTTAATTTAAATATATCTGGTGAGCTCCAGTGTCTTCGATCGGTTTAAAATGTATAAAGGGAAACATTACAGCACTTGAAAGGACAATTTACCCACTGTTTACTCTCCTTTGTGTTGTTAGAAACTTTTACGATGCAAAAGAAGATGAGCTGAAAACCTGCAACCCTTTTAATCCACAGTGGACATATTCAAAACATCACTCGAGTAAACATTCTTCAAAACATCTTCTTTTGTGTTCAACAAGAGAAAGAGAGTCAAAGATGCGAACGGAGTGAAGGATGAGTAATCGATGACAGAGTTTTGGCTGAACTCTCTCTTAAACAGCAAATCACTTGTCATGACTGAAGCAAATTCAACTACGTGGTCCATAAAAAAACCCTCCAGGGGGAAAGTTACTCTGCCCTACAAATAGAACAATTAGAAAATAAATAAAAAGGAAACGTAAAGAGAGGGAGGGAGCAAGAAAGAGGGGAGGGAGGGGAGGGGAGGGAAGTATAATTACTGTGTAAGAGGGAAACTAGAGAGACAAGGGAGCAACAGCCAGCGAGAGAGTCCAGCCCTCTTCAACAAAACCATTCAACTCCTGCACAGTGAGCAGTCCCAGACCTCTTACGAGCGCACCGCTTCCCTGGGGCACATCCAGAAGCCGACTGCCCATCCCATACAAACTTCCCGTGGACCTGGAGAGGGAGAAATCCACTGACAGAACTATTCCTACTTGTCGACCAGCATCTCTTCTCGCATCTCGCCAGCAAGGATTACTCTTTTTCCTGACTTTTCTTCCCCCCCTTTACCAGTTCTTACTTTTTTTGAGTCCTCTAAGATTGCACTCGCGCACAGGCAGACGGACTTTACTGCCAGCTGTTGGCGACTGACCGGATTCCAGTCTTACTTTGAAAGGAACTTTTTAAACTAAGTTTTTGTTTTACTGCGAGCGGTGCAGCTTTCTTCAGACACCTTTTATTTAAGGATGTCCCCTCTGCCTCTACTGAGCGGGATCCTCCTGCTGCTAATCCGGTCCTGCTCCCTGAGCGCCATGGTCACCAAAGGGAGCCTGCCGATGTCCGAGCAGCAGGCGGGCGCCACGGTGTGTCCATCCTGCGCGCTGGCACGGTTTCGAAAAGGCGTTTCGGAGAGCGAGGACGAGGGAGCCCAGCAAGATGTGGTGGAGGCAGTGAAGAGGCACATACTTAACATGCTGCACCTGCAAGAGCGACCCAACATCACACACCCGGTGCCTCGTGCGGCGCTCCTCAACGCCATCCGTAAGGTACACGTGGGACGGGTGGCCAAGGACGGCAGCGTCCTGATTGAGGACGAGGCCAGCAACCGCGCCGAGACCGAACAGGCAGAACAGACGGAGATCATCACGTTCGCTGAAACCGGTGAGTCCAAATTTTTGACTAGAGGGTGACCTTAGTCGTTAAATACCTTCATCTGTTCAGTCGTCCCTCGGGGGATGAAACGGGAGAGCTTGGTTTGTAAAGCTGTTTAACTTAATATGAGCGTTCAGGGAAACCTGTTGCCGCTGAACAAAGTCAGCTACGCTGCGGCAATTCGCTCCCCCCTCTCGAGGCTCCTCAAACCTCCCGCTGCTTTTAAAGAATCGGTAATTATCAGTGAGGGCCCCCCCCCCAGGCTTCCAGCCGTAAGCTCCGCACAGGAGCACCTCTCCGGGGACTCTCTATGTAGCTTCCCTATGTGACTGAAGAGGGTTGAGAGAAAGAGAGATAAAAAAAAAAATCATAACACAGAAGAATAGAAAAGGACTTCTCCATAATATGGGAGGGAAAAAAAGGCTGTTCGGTTACTGCCTTTGTGTCGGGTTTCAAAGGCAGTTGAAAGAGCATTGTCGGCTGCAGTGAGAGCTGTTCAAAGGTGCTGTCAAGCCCGTGATGTGAGGAGAGATTGGGTTCTTCTCTGAGTCATACAGCTCAAACGGGTCATGAGTGACACGGAGCCGCGGCGTGCCGCTGGAGCTCTCAACAGATGTGTCAGACCTAAAAAGCAGCAAGCCGAGCCATTGGATTGCTCGTCTGAAAGATGAATGTTTCATGATTTCAGGGAGCTGGGACTAACACTGCGGCCTGCTGGAGGAAATGCTTGGAGTTTATATGAACATGAGTTCGGTTTCATACGTTTCTGAAAACGCAGTATAGGTATATGATGTCAGGTGAGCTAGGAAAATAAAATCTGTCAAGACACGATGACGCATAAAATAAGCCACTCGCTCAAACTCAGAGTTTTGAAACTTTGGATTTCCCACAACAACAAGGAGATGCTTTATGCAGGATTCACACTTGTGTTTAGTCTCGGTGAATTTGCATTTCCCCCACTTTAAAAGCATTTTAAAATCTGCACCGAACACGTGATAATCTGCATTAACTACTGACATTTCCGTTACGTTATACGATCTTACTCATTTCCATGACTTCCACATCTGGAAATCCCAGATTTTAAATTTTTTTATATTATTAACTTTTCATGACCGTGAGAACTCTGTTTATGAGAACCATTCCCTGATAATCTTCCGGAGCCAGACTCCAGCTCGTCACATTATAAAACAAGTTCAGATCATGCTGAAGCGATGACAAAAACTTTGTCATGAGGCTCAGAACTAAATCTGGTAGTAATCAAAACTATATCAAACTTTGATCACGTGGAATGTAACAGCAAGTATTTATTCTTTCAACATAAGACTCATCTATTTGTTTTCAACGGACAATTGATTTATTGACTGAGGGGAGAGGGTCCGTCTCTCAGGATGAATGAATAAATCAGGCCTTAACAGGAATTACACGCTTTCGTTCAACTGCTCACGGTGCAAAACGTCAGATTACTGACCAGCACTGGCACAAACCAAACGCATGGCGCATCATAGCTCACTTTCTGAGGTCAGACTTGTTAACCCTTTGACTGCCCGCTCTGCCGGATGGTTGACCGTGTTTTGACAGTTTTAAATGATGACTGTTAAAGTCATTTAAAGAATGACTGTTGTGAATAATTGCATTGTTGGTTTAGGAAAAAAAATCAAACAAACATAATCCTGTTACTTGGTTACCTCTTACTACACTTGATTTTGGTTTGATTGTAAAACAAACAAACAAGAAAGCATGTTAACTGAGAATCTGAAGTAATTTTTTTTACTTCTAAAAAATAAGATGATTTAGTATACAGAAATGTTTTATTTTTAATATTTTTAAAAATAAATCGGTCTTACACTTCATATTTTTCATAGTATATGTATTAATTCCGTTACTTTTACCATAAACCAACATATCAACCATTTGGTTGAGGCTGATATTTAAGAAATTATGGGATGTGTCGAAAAATAAGTGCACTGAGTGTGTTATCTAGCAACATTTGGAGTTAAGAAATACAATCCAATGCTTTGTTTTTCTTGGTAAGGTAGTTAAAGGGTTAATGATGTCCCTAAAAAAAAAAAAAAACAGCTTAAACCAGCCTAGGCTGGTTGGCTGGTCGACCAGGCTGGTTTTAGAGGGGTTTTGGCCATTTCCAGCCTGGTTTTAGCTGGTCAGGCTGGGAGATGACCGGCTAAAACCAGCTTGACCAGCCTAGCCAGCCAATACCAGCTATGTCCAGCTTAAACCAGGCTGGTCACGCTGGTTTTAGCTGGTCATTTTCCAGCCTGACCAGCTAAGACCAGGCTGGAAATGGCCAAAACCTCTCTAAAACCAGGCTGGTCAACCAGCTAAAACCAGCCAACCAGCCTAGGCTGGTTTAAGCTGGATTTTTCAGCAGGGGTGTCTCGTTTGAACTTTATTACTTAAATCTGACAAACACTTCACATGAGATTAAGATGAGATAAAGAGATAACATGAAATATGACGCTCTGATTTTGAATATAAAACAATACCAAGCCATTTGTCGAATATCATAATAACTAGTGGGCGGAGACTTATTGACGGTTGACCGCAACAGTGCAACACATTCTGACGATCGATAATTCTGCTTAAAAGCATCTACACGTGACTTCTGATTAAACACGTAATAACTACAATGCATAAAGATATGCCATCGTCTTCCACTCACAGGCTTTGACTACAACTGAATGTGGCTTTAATGAAGTTTATAAAATGTACCTCATCGTCTCCTTCCGCCAAATAATCGCTGCGTTATGAACAGAAACCTCGTGATGATCGTTAAACCCGGAATTGAAAGCTTCCCGCTCGAACTCTCACGTTTCTGGCGCAAAATATCGCGTTGGTTTCCGTCTGAGCGGTTTACCAAACCTTCAAAATAAAAGCGTTCTCCATGTTAACCACAAGGGGGATTACAATAAATGTTATCCCTGACCCTAAAGAATAACACAACTGTACAGGGATGTTTCAAAATGATCTGGACTAAGAAACATTAAGTCTGTTTGTGATTAAAATAAATGCTCTTTTAAAATTTGCAGTCTTATTTTGTATAAACTTCTTGGGTTCTTCTTTTTTTAACTTTTTAAAAGAAACTCAGACTTTCAGTACAATAAATAATAAACTATGATCAATCTTGACACATTAAGTGAAATAGAAACACCTTCATGCATATTTTGTTTTAGTAAAACAATGATATTTTCATAATCAGCTCCAGAAGTTAGTACAGTATACTGAATATACTAGTCCAGACATCGCAATGCTCAGTTATCCTAGACTCTTTTTAACGAAAAACACGTTACATTATTTTATTTAGGATGTGACAAATTAAATTATTATATTCTAATAAAATAGTATAAATAAATAATGTAATTAATAGCCGCTCACGGAAAGTTTATTTAAAGTCCACTGCTGTTGCACAAGCATCATTTAGTCTGCAATGAGGTGATATTTTCTGACTTGGCATCACAGGCAGAGACACATAACTATAATTATATTGATTTTCTAAATACCCTAATGCGTAGTTCTGCATAATGTTTATTTCATACTGGTTTGAATTTAAGACGCATGTTACTGCGCTGCATCACTGTAACGTTGCCTTAAGTGGGTTGTTTAGACAACTGTAATTATGCGCATGATGTAAGTCTCAGACTTCAGCACACACTATCTGTCTGGAATCCTGTCCAAGAATCTGTTCTCATGATTGCAACGTAGATGTATCTCGTCTATATTTTAGCCGAATTATCATAAGCTGGGATATTGTCAACAATGTCAGTGCACACAGAATTGGTTTTTGGTGGCTGTCGTTTCACATGATGTGCTGATTACGTGGTGAAATCACCTTGATCTGAAACAACAACCGCAGGCACACGGCATTTATCGTAGAGTATACTTGTTCAAACCATTATCTCTAATATACAGCATGCTGACTGAATGAGAGCTACATGGTTAGACTGATTACTCTCAATTTAACGTGTAGCCTCGAGCCATGTGCAATCGGTGCTTGCGTATGTTAGCATGACTGCAAATAACGAATAAGCGTTAGTCTGCAGACTTTCAGCCAGTAGCAACTATATCAAGAGTGTTCGCTCTTTCTTTAATATGTCGCCACCGAATCTTAAAGGGATAGTTCACCCCGAAATGAAATTTCGCTCACCGTTTACCTCAAGTGGTTTCAAACCTTTTTGAGTTATTATTTCTGATGAAAACTAAATGGGATATGTTGAAAAGAATATGAAAATCTGTAACTATTGACTTTGGAAACACAAATACTCATCGAAATCTCTTCTTTGGTGTTCAACAGAACAAACTCGTACAGATTTGAAACAAGTGAAGAGTAATTGCAGGATGACAAATTGAACTATCCCTTTAAGAACGGGTCGGTGACGACATCAAACGTTTACAAAACAAAAAAAGTATGGTGTAAAAATGTGTCCGGCAGTCTAATGAGTAACGCCATGTGCCGAATGATAAAACAGAAAGTGTGTTACGGCGGTGAATGTGTGTGGGCGTTCAGTGTTTGGCCTTTCTGATGTCATTTAGGCGTGCAGGTTGCATATGCGAAGCTTGACATGTTCTGAAACAATGACTCAATATTTACTTCTTCTCCTGGTTTTGATCTCCTCCTAGAGATTTATCACAGGGAAACCCTATAATCACTCCCTCCAGCACTAGTCACAGCAAAGGAAGGAAGACGTCCCGTGTTTTCATGTGCAGGCGGTTATTTTTTGCCAGATCAAATACCGATTCACTCTTCTGACTTGCTTCGGCGTGAGTTTAGTTTCCCTGAATAAGAATAAAACAAGTTTTCCATTTTAAGGCAGAGGGAATAAAACAGCCCAAAGTATTTTCGAGTCATTCTAGGGCCACGCTGCCAGCTCGCCAAATCTTACATATCACGAAGCCACAAAGTATCTCCTTTAAACGCTATCCAGATTCGAGTACCACATTAGAAAGCCTCCTTGTTAGCTGAGGATTAGCGCGGTCGCAAAAACACTTTCTCAGGTTGCAGGATACTTTACTGCTCATGACATTTGGTAATGTGCTGCTTAAAGCCTTCTTGGCTTCAAGATAGAGCCCTGCGCTGAAGAAAGGATGCTGCAGCATCATGCCAGCTATGCTCATTTATTACTCTGACAGCTGATGCATCATCCAAACCTGTTCGTGAGAGTGGGTTATTACTTGCAGATGCAGGCTCGGTGGAAGAGTAGCGAGCATCTCAAATCAACGTCCGACTTCGAATCCCGAAAAATCAATCAGACAAACAGGTTGCAACTTTCGTAATAGATAATAGATCCCCCCTCCCATGTTTTGTTAAGCCGCAGTCTCCGTGTTCATATTAAAAGCGCATGTCCTTCAGTGATTCAGCATGCTGTATGGCCTTGAGCCATGTTTTGTGGATTCTTACCAAAGGTTAGTAGGGGGGAGGCAGCAGTAACTCTCCTCGTTACCCTCCCGGTTCCCTGGGAGCCGCGCTGGCCCGCAGGGGCTGGCTGTAGCTGCTGATTCTTTGCTGCTGAGCGGGGCGCTGACTTAGATAGGGGCAGTAAATCAGGCCCGCTGTTGGAGCCTGAAACGCCTGCGGGTGATGAGGACCAGATAAAGAGGCAACGAGGCCGTTTGGGGAAGAGCATAACAGGCATGCTTGGCCTTTACGGAGCAAGGTGCGGTACGGTGAAGCGGCTCGCCCGTGTTAGGGACACTCGGCTGAGAATGTATACAAAACTCTTGAGTGTTATGGTTGGGAAATAAGCTTTATTTGCACTTTTTGTTTGTTTGCGTCTCATGCTGGGATGTGGAAAAGGCCACGAACGCTGTTGCAGCAACATGCAGTACACTGAAAGGAATTCTAGAGGTTTTGCGGTCTGTTCAGTGACATTTTAATCTCAAAGGATGCTTTACGATTGCAGCATTGGTCTCCGTCGAGTATTTTCTCTTGAAATACCTCAGCTGCACTCATTACGGACCATTTTTACTTAGTTTGGTGTCATGCGAATGTGCAATACTTCTGAGAGTTGGGAACAGTTGTAGCCACCCTTTGATGAACGTTAATTATCTAGATCAGGGGTCACCAAACTTGTTCCTGGAGGGCCGGCGACCTGCAGATTTTAGCTCCAACCCTAATCAAACACACCTGAACAAGCTAATCATGGTCTTACCAGGCATACGTGAATCATCCAGGCAGGTGTGTTGAGGCAAGTTGGAGCTAAACCCTGCACGGACACCGGCCCTCCAGGACAGAGATTGGTGACCTCCGATCTAAATGATAACTGATTAACATTTTAAATATATGAACGTGGAGCAGCACAGTGCCATGGTTGCCGAACACATGCTATATTGGTGAATTGGGTAAACAAAATTGGCCGTAGTGAATGTGTGAGAATGAAAGTTTATGGGTGTTTCCCAGTTATGGGTTGCAGCTGGAAGGGCATCTACTGCGCAAAACATACGCTGGATAAGTCGGTGGTTCATTCCGCTGGGGCGACCCCTGATTAATACAGAGACTAAGCCGAAAAGAAAACGAACGAACGATATTACAGGCTTATTCACAGTGTGCTTTAGCGCAAAAGTTCAGTCTGTGAAATCCATCCTCGCTGCTGACGGGATTGTGTTTGAAATATGTTGCATAACAGGCGAGGAAGTCAAATCGTTCACTCCCGCATGCCATTAAGAGAGTCGTGTTTCCACCCTCATACTTTTATTTCTAATTTAACATCTTGTTGGGTCGAAGAAAGAAACGGGTCAAGAATCCTAAAGGGATTAGCATCTTTCCCACTTGGTATTTAACGCCAGTGCTGGCCTTGAAACAATAGCCGTTTTCAAGTTGTCAGAAAGATCCAGAGAATATGCACCGAGCTCCCTTGTGTTGTGGTGCATGAACGAATGGCTCGATCCATTAAGCACCTGTTAGCGCTGTCGTCTTTGAACTAGCCCGTGTGATCTGCGCCGAAAAAAACCTATTGCCTTTAATCAGCATTGTCAACAAATTAGCCAAAGATAAATAGTGCGCTATCCAGGAAGAGTGCTATCAAACTCCGTCCGAAGAGGCGTGTTTTAACAGCCTTTCAGGTTGTGGACTTCTTTACTGCAAAAGCATTCTTTGAGCTTCGAGCACTGGGGCATTGCAAGCCATACAATATGACAGGAGGCCAGCAGGGAGATGAAAGAAGCTGATTCCCCCTAAGGTAAACTAGATAGAAAAGGGGATTATAGAACACATTAACTAAAGCCATGTTTAAAGAGGAGTGGACATCCCCCCGTCCCCCCCACAAACACACTTAAGTTCCCAGGTGATTCTATACTTCAGCCTCCCGCCCCTTTAGAAGACACAGAAAGGGGGTGGGGAGGAATGTGTAAATGTTATTCTCCATCTTTGTGTGCAGGACAGCTGTGCAAACTCTGCCCTTGCGGTTAAATTGGTGTTTATTGTTGAGGGATTACCGCATGGCTCTTTAGTCTTTCTCTTCGATTTTCAAAATTTCTTTTTGCTCTCCAGCAAATATATTCAGAAGCATGCAGAGTTGCAAAGCACCAGCGGAGATCTTTCTTCTCGAGGCCTGGGCCTCCGGTACGGAGGGCCGGTTGAAGGGTTTACTCGGCTTAGTCAAAATGCTAACGATGCTCGAGTCTTTCGCCGGAGGCAGATTAAAAGGAAAACAATGCGTTAGCCACCACCGGAGAAAAAAAGCCTATTATTTTTAGCCCGCGTTCGTGAAGCTAGTCCGTGTTTGGACAGATGGGTTTGGGCCAGGGATCCTTAAATTCGCTCTAGCACACATATACACTTGTAGCTCGGAGCCATTGTTATTACATTGCGACCCTGTTAGATGATAGATGTAGTACTTGTGCAATGATTATCCGTAGTATATTGCTTAACGCTTGTTGTAAAAGGCCTCTTGTTATTAGTCACCATATACACGGATCGCTGCGAGTAATCCTCTGACAAGATTTTTACAAGAACTCAGCTAAGGTACAAGCAAGCGAAACAGTCAGCTACACCGGCCAGAAATAATGTCCAAACTAAGGTTTGGTGGCTTAAAAACAGGTTGAGTCAGTAAATGGAGAGGATTTGTTTAGAAGTGCCCAAATGATCCGTGAACTGAGATTTTCCAGAGGCCTCGCCTCTGTCTATAACACAGCGGGAATCAAAGCCAGAGGGAAAAGTCTTTTACAATCCAATGAGACAGCAAGCCACATGCCACATCACTGCTTCCAGCTGCACACTGTATGTTGTCATGGCCCTTATGTGTTACCCAGCATTCAGCTAAACCTCTTTCGAGGCCAGCAGACTCTTAATTGCTCGCCTAACGACCAGGAGAGGTGATGAAGTTGGTTTAAAGTCTTGCCGAAACCCTCAATTATTTCAATTCCAAGGTGGTACAGGAAGGACCGGGTGGGAGGAGGGATTGTTTGTTTGTGAGCGTGGGTGTAGGAACGGCTGATTCACATCTTGCGTTTGACGCGCAGGAAAAGGATGCACGGCTGCATACCTCTCTGCCATTTATTAATAGTTGCACAAAACAGGAGGCGATTGTTTTGCGGAAACCTTGAAAAACTGGTCACAGTTGGCACAGCGCAGAACTGTTCCACTGATGCCACCGCTCCCTGCGTCAGCTGTGATGTGGCAGCCTGCACGGTCAACAGAAGCCTCGGGCTGAAGTGAAATGCAACCACGAGCGCAAAAGAGCAGCTCGTTTGACTAACCCTGATGTTTCTTTGTTTTCCTGTCTTTCAGGCGAGGCTCCGGGCATAGTCAACTTTCTCATCTCCAAGGAAGGCGGTGAGATGTCTGTGGTGGACCAAGCCAACGTCTGGATCTTCCTTCGACTGCCCAAAGGCAACCGCACGCGTGCTAACGTCAACATTCGGCTGCTTCTGCAGCAGGGCGCAGGGGAGAAAATCCTGGCAGAGAAATCCGTGGACACGCGGCGCAGCGGTTGGCATACGTTTCCGGCATCGGAGAGCGTGCAGTCGTTGCTGCAGCGCGGGGGAAGCACGCTGAGTCTGCGCGTCTCCTGCCCGCTGTGCGCCGACGCCCGGGCCACGCCGGTGCTGGTGTCTCCCGGAGGCAGCGAGCGCGAGCAATCCCATCGGCCGTTCCTCATGGCCGTAGTCCGACAGATGGACGAGCTCTCCCTGAGGAGGCGTCGCAAGAGAGGCCTGGAATGCGACGGCAAGGCGCGCGTCTGCTGCAAGCGACAATTTTACGTAAACTTCAAGGACATCGGCTGGAACGACTGGATCATCGCTCCGTCGGGGTACCACGCCAACTACTGCGAAGGCGACTGCGCCAGCAACGTGGCAAGCATCACCGGCAACTCGCTGTCCTTCCACTCCACGGTCATCAGCCACTACCGTATCCGAGGGTACAGCCCTTTCACCAACATCAAGTCCTGCTGCGTCCCCACGCGCCTGCGAGCCATGTCCATGCTCTACTACAACGAGGAGCAGAAAATCGTCAAAAAGGACATCCAGAACATGATTGTAGAAGAATGCGGCTGCTCGTAAGGGCACTTCGAGAAGAGGAAGGGTGGGAAGGGAGCATGGTTGGACGGTCGGGGCAAGAACTTGAGTCCCGAAACGAATGGAAAAAGACGAGATGTAGAGGGAGGAGTCGAGAGCTCCTCTATCTCTATCTCACTGCCTCAAGACGAACTCTCGCGTAGACAGGCCTCTCTTTCTCTCGACCACTTGTGCGTGGTCATCTTAGAATCCAATGGGTATCTGTAACTCAGAGTAATCTCTGTGGCACTTTCAAAAGAGAAAAAAAAAAAAGAAATATAATATATTTTTGTTACAAAGCAAAGGGAGCGAGGTCAGAGAGTATTTATGCGGCCTACTTTGCAGCGCAGACGTGCACTGCGGGAAGAGAGATCACACAGATGAGGTGCCTGAAAAAGAAAATCTCAAAACTATGCAACTTGTCAAGTATTACGATATATTTTCATCAAGGTGTTGTTTTGTTTCTTAACTATTTACTTTTACAAACTAAAAGAAAAGTTAACGTCGGTTGACTTTTTATACCTTGTTTGTGTGTTTTACGTATACATGTTTGTCGTGTGTGTCTGTACAAAAGTGTGTGCGTATGTGCAGTCTGCCTATGGGAGTATTTGTGTACGTGTGTGTGTGTGTGTGTGTGCATGTCTGTTTGTGTGTGTTGTTGAGAGATACTTGAAAGAAGTTTGACGGGCTGCTGGAACCAAACATTTCTCTATATTATTATTATTATTATTATTATTGTTATTATTCTAATTATTCTGACTATTGTTAATAATGTTATTATTTTGTTTTGGTTTCTGTACATTTTTTTTGTTATCTTAATATGAGACGTTAAAACGTTTACAGTTTTGCACTATATCAACATTTTGATCAGCGTAGCCACATATACAAATATGTTTATAGAGAAAGACTAGAAGCACTTCAGAACAGACGTACCTACATAGCATGAGTCTAACAAATGAGATTGTTCAAAAAAAAAAAAAAAACAGGGAGGTTAGAGGAGAAGCAAGAGTCGACTAGCACTACATCAGAGGACCATGTGTACACATGCGTTTTACAAAATAGTGTTTTGGTTTTTTTACTCAACACCAAAGAGTTTCGTTTAGCGTTGCCTACCATATCAGGCTGTCTCCGAACGGTTGTTCAGAAGATACCAATATGTCTTTCAGAAGGTTGCTTTGTTCTCCCTACAAAGATGTCCAGGTTAGCGAACCGAAAGACCTTTAAAACGGCTTCTCAACGTCCCACAGCGGCTCACTCCTGTGTGTGCTTTTGCACTGCTGCACAGTCCAATCGCGACTGGCCATCGAAATGGTTAAAACAGCACTTAAACCAACCTTTTAAAGTTTGTTTTTCTTTTAATCATGAATTGTTACAAAAGTGAATGTGCAGCATTGATATTTAATGACTTGGGAGATGAATTACTATTTAGGTATTTGCAATTTCTGTCCACCAAATATTAAAGGGATCTTCGACGATCCAAACAAAAATATATCTATTAAAAAAAAGGAACTGTTTTTGTTCTGCAGATGTTGATATTTCCGCTTCCCGACATGAAATATTTTACCACTGTGCAATGTTTAAAAAAATGAAGCAATTTGGGAAATGAAAAGAAAAAAAAAAGAACAGAAAAGACTGAGAGAACGTTTGTGTTACATTTTGAACTAAGAAAAGTTTACTATTTTCAGCGTGCTCCTAATGGGAGCGCATACGAAATGTCATTAAAGAGAAAAAAAAAATACTATTAAAACAGAAAAACAGATTCAGAAGAAAAAAATAAGACATGTTGTATATGTTTTTGTATGTTTATTTGTTTGTTGTTATTAAAAAAAATAATTGACACTGAAAAAAGTGGACTAAGAATAAAAAATATATTTTTTATTCTGTATATATGGAAATCAAGATACCAATATGTTGCATTGCTTTGTTGTACAAATCAAAAATGTGCTTGTGGCTATTTTTTTTAATCTAATTTATTCTACAGTATTTTGTCCTTTGCTTCACCATTAAAGTTAAAAGGTTGTACACTAAAACAGATGACAAACGTGTTGGTTGTGATTTCTTGCACAGGACACACACATCTAATTTTAAGATAAACAACAATTCACAAAGCACACGCCAGACTGTATGGACCCTATCACAATTATGACACATTTAACAGTCATCGACATCTTAAAAAGTTTAAATATTTCTTTAAATGTATGTGCATTTATAAAGCTATACTTTGCATTAAGTGTATCATCTTTACATGAAATTACAAAAAACAAATTACCGCTGACGTGTGGTGTTTCTAATGTAGCTTCTATGGGGGCTGGAACAGTAAATTTGACAGTTTTTCTCTTGAGTTTGTTGTGATCAATCTCAATTCCCTCAATTTTTTTTTCTGAAATCTTGATAACACAATCAATTAGTTGTTCTTTTACTATTTGAGCAATTATGAAGGTGTTGTATTTTCCCATTGACTGGTTAAAGTCTATAAGAGATACGGCTGTGGATTTTGTGTAGTTGTGTAGTGTGACACTGTACAACATTTTTTTTTACCATTTTTATGTTACTGTGGGGTTTGGGTTTAGGATTAGGCATAAATAAAATGCATTTTAACGGGTAATTTAATGAATAATACAAATGATTCTTGATATTATTACTATTTTACAATACTATGAGGGTGGGGTTTAAGGTTAGGCATCAATCAAATTTAATTGAAAGGGTAATTTCATAAATAATTATATGAATAATACTTGATATAATTACTATTTTACAATACGGTGAGGGTTGGGTTTAGGGATGGGGTGTGGGTAAGCTTTGATAAAATAAAATTAATGGGTGATTTAATAAATAATATAAATATTATTACTATTTTACAATACTATGAGGGTGGGGTTTAAGGTTAGGCATCAATCAAATTTAATTGAAAGGGTAATTTCATAAATAATTATATGAATAATACTTGATATAATTACTATTTTACAATACGGTGAGGGTTGGGTTTAGGGATGGGGTGTGGGTAAGCTTTGATAAAATAAAATTAATGGGTGATTTAATAAATAATATAAATATTATTACTATTTTACAATACTATGAGGGTGGGGTTTAAGGTTAGGCATCAATCAAATTTAATTGAAAGGGTAATTTCATAAATAATTATATGAATAATACTTGATATAATTACTATTTTACAATACGGTGAGGGTTGGGTTTAGGGATGGGGTGTGGGTAGGCTTTGATAAAATAAAATTAATGGGTGATTTAATAAATAATATAAATAATTAGTGTTAACTTCCGGCCACAGCTGTATCCCTTCTAGCAACCACCATTAACTACACTCTAAGTCTAACCAAGTATTACATTGTCCGCTGCTGAGAAACCCTTAAATGTGAAGAAAAAGTCAATTACAGCCTTATATATAATACACACTACCTGACAAAAGTTTTGTTGTCGATTCGAGTTGTAAGAGCAACACATAATACTAGTATTATAACATAATAATCAAATTAAATAAAATCTGATATTTTCTGATGAAGCAACTTTTGAGCTGCATCACAAATACTGCAGAAGACCTACTGGAACCCGCATGGAGCCAAGATTCTCACAGAGATCAGTCAAGTCTGGTGAAGGAAAAATCATGGTTTGGGGCTACATTCAGTATGGGGGTGTGCGAAATCACAGAAGAGAAATTCTTCAGCAGGATAGCGCTCCTCATACTTCAGCCTTCACATCAAAGATCCTGAAAGCAAAGAAGGTCGAGGTGCTTAAGGATTGGCCAGCCCAGACACCAGACATAAACATTATTGAGCATGTCTGGGGTAAAATGAAAGGGATTGAAGAAGCCATTCCAGATGATTTTATTAATAAGTTATTTGAGTTATTGCAGAGATGTTTGGATGCAGTCCTCAAAGCTCATGACCTTCGCCTTTCATTTAAGCCACTTCTGATACCAAATGATCCAGTCTACTTCAAAAATAATCCTTCCTTGGAAAAATCCTAAAACAACCTAAAAGAAGACTTACAAGAAAAAAAATGATGACAGTTCGCATGTTAAATAACGATTATTGGAACAGAGAACCAGATGGCGTCTAAATAAAGCCTGTTGCATGCAGAGGTTTGAGTTAAATGATGGTGGTTTTGGAGGAGGTGGACCAGCCATCATGAACCACTGCTGCTGAATGACACATAACCACAGAGTCCCCTCAAGACGGATGCATGCACGCGTGCAAGAAAACATCAACACACACTTCAGATGCATTTCACACACCTCCTCGCTCCTTAAATGAAGAATGTACTCGTTTAGATGACATAAAGTAGTGTGTCCGAGTCGCGAAGTTGAAACAGAGCTGTCTCAGGATAATGACAGAGAGCTAGAAACGGTGATAATAATTCAGCAGTGAGCGATTAAAGAGCAGGAGCAGACCAGAGGATGCCCATTCATTTCCAATGCACTTTTGTTTCTGGGTTTTTAGCACCTTTTCTGAGGAACACCAGCGATGGCTCTGGCACAGTTTAAGCTTCAGGCAAGATATTTTTTCTAAGAAAAAAGTTAGATGTACTTTTGTTCTTTAGAAGTGAGTGTACTGATTAGCATGACAGGGAAATCTGGGTTCAATTGACAACCTTTTTTTTTTTTTGTAACTTGACAGCCTGTGATCACTTTGTACCTTTGTTGCATCTAAAGGAACTTTAACATTTTGTTCCAGCAAAAAGAAAAAAAAAATCATACAAGTTTAAAGTAGTATAAGCATCTGCAGTTTAAAGAAACCTATTTTTAGCACTCAGGATTTGATTCATGATTGTGGATGTGATTTCTTTGTCAGTGTTAGACAAACATTTGTTTTTTTCCTAATTATGCATTTGTCAGAGCTAATGTGACGGCTAAAAAATATCCATAAATTAGCAGTTTTCAATATTTTGTGATTTATGTTTTTATTTTACCCCATTTATTTATGATTTAGAATTGAATTTTATGACCTTGATTTTTCTTTCAACAACTTTTAAGCATGAAAAGTTATTAAAAAATCTCTTTATTAACATTTTTGATAGTTTAAAGCGAAATATTATCTGCGTATGTGTACATTAAAGTATAACAATCCTCATTAATTAAATTCTCATCATTAATTTAAAAAATAACATAAAAATATACATGCTGATGCCTTGAACACATTAGTGAAATAATTACATGTAAATGTTCCTTTTTTTTATAATGAAGCGTATTGTGACAGATTATTGTCATGTGTATAGACTGTGTAGATTTATAGGTATTTTGGAGTTTTTAAAAAATGTTGGTATCACATGTTGCTCTAATTTGTATTTTTTCATCAGTGTTTCCAACTCTAATGTGTTTGTGTTTAAAGCCTTTTCTTAAATGAGAGCAAATGTAGGGTGGGGCTTGATTTGGACCAAGAGAAATTAATTGGACAGTTGTGGTTTCCTATTGGTGGATCTCATCTGAGTGACAGGTTGACCCCGCCCTTATTCCTGCAAACCAACAAACCAAATCTTTCAAAAAGTGAAATAATAACTTATAAATACACTGCGAAATTTAAAAAAAAACTAAACAAAAAACAACAACAGACTGACGAAAACACACACACACAAAAAAAAAAAGGAAATGCAGGAATTGGAGTACTCATAAAACGCTCAGGGTGCACAATTTTAGTCCTGCATGATTAATTGGTTTAAAACAGAAATCGTGATTTGGAAAGGTGCACTTTTTCCACGGGACTCTGGCATGAATAGGCAGAGTGATCTGTGTTGTTATAATGATGTCGACAAACTTGGTTGGTATAAAAGTTGCACAACTAACAGGAACCAACCAACAGTGTCTGAGGTTTACAATAAAACTACTAAAAAAGTACAAGTGTGAAAGCGAAAAACTGAAGCAATGTACTGATGCTAAGACAAGTTACCTGACAGACTCAAAGACAGAAGAGTCGTCAGATAGACAACATTAATTAAATATCACGTTTAACAACTACTGTGAGATGCGATTCAGTGGTACATCCATGATAAACTGCCCGACGTGCACTGCTCTCTGGGGTTTTGTGCTCAAAGCACCCACTGACTGCTGGAGCTCAGACATATTCATATGCTGCAACACATACGTGTGTGTGTGTGTGTGTGTGTGGTCATGTGATATGCGTTTTCAGCAGTATAGTATAGAAGGATCTGTTCTGAAATGCTAGATGAAACGCCAGTGTGGATGTGGATCGTTTTTGTTCTAAAATGTCTTTTTAAAACGAAGATGCATTAATGTAAATGGGGCCTGAGTGTGTGTTTTACGCAAGCAGGTTGCTGCTGCGACAGGGGTGTGGTGTAGGATGGCGATGGCCGATCTGCATTGGGATGTCTATCGGCCATCATTTATCGATTTAACCCTAATATAGAATTCATTTAAACCCTAATAACAGAATTTAAAATACTATACTTAATTTCTTAATTTGGCGTGGCAACTGACAACTATATTGGAAAAAAATGGTTTTAATGGTTGGTTGGTGTACTTAGTGATTATGCTTGATTTTTCTTTGGTGCTTTTAAAACCACAATATCAAACCTGCAGCTCTTTAATGAAATGATAGCAGATCGCAATTTTGATCAGATAAATCGCAGCCCTAAACAATATGTAATGGCATTTCTGAAAAGAACAAAAGAAAAGAAAAGAGAGGATAATCTAGACAACCATGTTTTTCTGCTAAAGACAAAACAAAGTATGTGACAGACCTTTAAATGAGTGTTTGACTTTGTGTCACACAGATAAAGTACGCAGAGCTGGAGCGGGAGGAGAAACTGGTTGCGCAAGGTGTTGTCAAACTGTGGACTCCATTAGGAAATCTGATCTCAAACACAAACACTGATTCCTGCACACAGCGGACACACTGCGGCTAATTGACTTTAACTGGAGAATTAAGAGCCGTGGACAAACATCTGCAAACATCGCCACCCTTTAAACACTCAACCACACACACTTGTGTTAATTAAAATGCCGTTTTAAAGTTAAATTTACTTTCAGTTTTAGTTCTGCATTCACAATTTAAATAAGCTTTTATATG